TTAGCCATCCTAAGTAGAATAAAATAGAATATTAATGTAGTTTAAATGGACATCTTTGAGCTGACTAGAAATGTTGAATTTTTAAAATGTTTTTAGACCATTTGTATTTCATTTTTGAAAACCATTTCTCATTTAACTCATTGTCCCATTTTTAATTGGATTCCTTGTTTTATTGTTTAGTTTTTAAGTGAGTTGCTGGCTTTCTGTTTTCTTTCTTCATTTTTTCTTGTTTTCTTGATGTTTAGTTTTTCTGTTTATTTATTCTTGTATATTCTTGATGATATTCTTCCATTACATAACTGGTAATTTTTTTTCTTTTGTTAACTGCTGCTTCATTCAAATCATGAGGTCTTTTTTTTTACAGAAGCTTTTGAATTTTCAAGTAATTTTTAAGAACCCACTATATGGTAGCTGTTCTTTCTCTCTTTCTCTGCCTGTGTATGTGTATCTATTTTGTATTATAATTTACCCAAAACACACAATTTCATTGACGAAGTTTTATTTTATTGGTGATTTCTAATAAGACAGGAAATAAGTATTGTTGCTTTTTATTGGCTCATTTCTACTTTTCTTTATTTATCTCCCAAGCTGTAAATAGTGCTGGAAATTTCATGAACAAAATATATTAGTCAATCATTGAAATTCCTGATTAAAATGTAAATGTTGTCCTTTGATGGATAATCACATTAAACTATTAGCAAATTTGCAAGATTCAGTTTACAGATAAATTAGGTATAATTGTGCTTGGTCCTGAGTAAGTAAGTAGGTTTTATAGTGTAGAAAAGAGGGATATACATAAAGCAGGTTATTCTGGAGATGCAAGCTTACTTTTTATACAGGATACTATAAACCCTAGTTTCTGAGACATAAAACACCAAGCCATACCATTTCAGATTAACTTGCATTCTGCTTTCAATGACAAAGTGTTCACCCCAAGAAATTTATTTTTGTTTCAGAAAAATATGAAATCCAGCAAAAACATTAATTTTACAATAGTTTAAGTATTTCAGTGGATTTTTATTTGTTTAAACAAGTAGGTAAACTTTTGTTAGTATGATTTATTGACCAATCATTTAGCGATTATTCTATGGTGAATACAAATTTTGATTTTTAGGTTCACAATTTTTTTTTTACCTGATATAGTATGTGGGGAAGGAGTACTTAAGAGTAAACAGCCTCTCCTAGCTATATTTTCTATATAGGGTCATAAATACTTTGTGTGCAGTTAATTGACTTCTACTTCAAAGTAATATACACAGTAGCCTATTTACAAGTCATAAAAAATGAGGCCAAGTGTTTTCAACATACTGCTTTTCCCGCATTGTTTTTGTGTCCAAAAACAGTGAGCATGGATAATTCAACACATAGTGATTTCATCTATGCCATATTTTCATTTTAAAGTAATTTGTCCTTTAAAGCTTATCCCATATATCAATATGATTTGGGTCTAAATTTATGTGTCAAATGTTGTCATTATATGTTTATTATATATAATTATCGATTGGAAATCAATTATAATGCATCTTTCCATATTCTTGTAATGATCTGTAGAAGGAAACTTGCCTGTCTTTGAAAACCTTTAAAATCTGGATCTAAAGAAACTTGCCTAATAGAAATTGTGTTTCCAAATTCCATTTTAATTGTGACCCATCAATATGAATGTAAAACCTGCAATCATACTTTGGACGTATGTATCATTTTGTTAGAGCCCTTAAATAATGTGCAGTAAATAATAATGACATTATGAGAAAATAATCAGTTAAAATTTAAAAAATAACTCACTTGAGGACACACAGGATTTCATGCCATTACTTATTTTAAATACTAGTAGATGTTCTTTATTTTGAAGGTTTGATATATCTTCTCTTTTATATTAATACCAATGGAATAGCAAAACAGACACGAACAGTGTTTTTAATAGGGTAATATTTTTGGTAGATATAACGTGTTTTGATTCATTTTCATTACTGTACACATTTACACACATACAGGCACGAGAGAGAGGGGGCAGAGTGTAGGAGTAGGGGGAGGGAGAGGGAAAGTGAGGAGAGGTTGAGAGACTTTTAGTGTAGCATGTGGTGTAGCATTTTCTTTCTGATTTACTTTGACCTCACAGAAGCATAAATGTCTCAATAGTCACAGGCATTTGAAGAAAGAATACTTTAAACCATAAAGGAAAACATTTTGTTTAAACCATACTCTCTCTCTCTC